AAATGCTGTTGAAACACCTCACAGCCATTCTGTAGTTGCCAACTTTGAGAACACACATGACATCATGCTCAACGGCATATGATTGCTGCTACAGTGTTACTGAAGAATAATGAAAATGACGTAGTCAGGTTGTGTGAAGGCCATGTAAAAGGTGATTTATTTCTGAAATGTTTTGCTAACTTCATCACAACTTTGTGAATTAGAGAACACACATATGCCATCGAGTATGTGCCTTTAAACTTTAAAACTGTTGCATTAAAGTATGAGTACATCAGTATTTAAATATAAATAAGTATGGATGTCCAAAAATCTACTACATACAAGCACCTAAAACTATGGTGTGATTAAAAAAACATGAGGGAGTAACATTTCTTGAGTGCAGTTTCTACCCCAAACACTTCCAAAGGCATGAAGCCTTGGATAAGTATAAATTGTGTGTGAAGCACTCATTCAGATCTGATTATTCATGGATGTACATAGTACAGATTGTTTTTGCTTTTCTGGATCAACATCTTCATGGGGATGTACTGGAAACCATACAATCTGGATGGGGAAAATTTGAGATAATTTAATGCTTTCTGTTTTGGAAGTAGGTACTGTGGCAGTGAAAAGCAAAGCATCCATTCCATAGCATCTGTAAAGTAGGATTTATAGTTTTGAATTTCCAGATTGACAGAAGAGGAAAGAAACTGAGATTCTCAGTGAAGTTTTATTTTCTTGATGTTTGTTGCTAGGGATGAAGCACCACAGACGGACCAGGCAGACCAGTGGCCGATACTGGGGGAGAAAAGGCAGGGGATTCCTCAACAGAAGGAGAAAGAATGCTTGGTGCCCTAAGTCATCACAAAATGTAACTGTCATCTGTGGGAAAACCCCACTGAAGACATTCATTAATTAAGTGACTCTCCATTAATTATTCTACCTTTTGAAACCGAGCATTAGGTAGGGGAATGATCTTCCTGGTTTATATTGTCCTCCACCTTCGATCTCATAGTTGTTGGAGTGGAAAAACAGCTGAAGAGTTTGGAGTCTGCATGATTCTAAGGTGATACTCAAATCAAATCTAGGCAAGCAAGACAAGGAAAAATAAGTAAGCAGACTCCCTTTAATTTACAATTTTGTTTTGTTTTTTTTCGAGACAGGGTTTCTCTGTGTAGCTTTGCGCCTTTTCCTGGAACTCACTTGGTAGCCCAGGCTGGCCTCGAACTCACAGAGATCCACCTGGCTCTGCCTCTCAAGTGCTGGGATTAAAGGCATGCGCCACCACCACCACCACCTGGCAATTTACAATTTTTAAAACATTTACATTTCATGTATGGTGATATCAAGGATCAGGAGTAAACATAAGAAAAAATGACATGCTTGGATTAGAATTTTTCATAATAGATGTATCTGTTGATAGACATATGGCTGTCAATCAGTTTCTAGACCTCCACAGTATTGGTATTTCAGATCAGATACACTTTTGTTTTTGGTACTCTTCTTGGTCTCCTAAAATTAGGAACATTCCTGGTTTCTACCACTTGATACCCCCAGGAGGCTCCTTCTCACCATAAGTTGAAACAATTAAAATTTCTCCAGTGATTTCCAGTTGTCTCCAACAGCACAATCATCCATGGCTGAGAATACAAGTTTTATTCTGTTTCCGACTTGGATTTCATGGCTGTGGACTTTACGACTTACTTTCATGACAAAGTAACTAAAGAGTTTGGAAAGATATGGCAGTAGCTCCATTTCTGTTCTTGCAATATTGGAAACAATAAGCCCTACACTTGGGATTGTACGAGATCTCCAATGGGAGTGACTTACTTTGTGCATATATCTGATCTTGCAAATGCCCATTTCCCAAAAGAACACCCTTCCTCTAGCATGAACTTATCTAGGGTCTGTCATACTCAGCTCAGTTGTCCAAGTGATGCCTGCATCACTCAGAGACAAAAAATTATGAATTCTTTGTAGTGTGTTTCATGATTTTAATTGCAGAAGGGTTGGGAATCAATGAGTTTATGATCTGATCCTTGGAATTAAATTTAGGGTTAGAACTCCAGGGTTAGATTTTAAGGATCTAGGAACATGGAAAGCAGTACTGATTAGGATGACTAAGACACTAAGGACCCCAAATTTGTTTGATACCCTTCCATGTCCTGTAGAAAGGATGTGGTCTTCTTCCCTAAGCTTGCTTCAAGAACTACTCATCTTTGGAGTTTATGAATATTCCCTTAAATGGAATTTCATAAAGTTTAAGTACAAGTTCTTATGACATGGTAGCACGTATATAGGTTCAAATAACAACCAGGGCACAGCACTATCATGTTGCTCAAATAATTACTTTAGTATATTTGTACTCTGAGAAAGAACAAAGGAGAGAGAAGAATACCAAGCTACAATATGCTTCCCCATCCTGCACAGTGTGTAGTGGCTTCTGTTAAGCTCCACATTCTTTTGAAAATATCAAGTCCTTAGAGAGGATGTCAGTGTAGTCACTGACAACTGATGCAATCTGCCCTACATCAATTCGAGGATAACCAGCTGCCATAAATGTCTGAGGGATACTGAAAAATGACGTGGTTCTAGGCTTCATCTTTACCATGGGTGTGGATGAATTTTGAAATTTTTTAGTGATAGGAATATAAGATGAAGTTCATCGAAAAATATATTTTTTCACTCTTTGTTTACCTACACCAATTTCAATATTCTGAAAGATATTCTGTATCATGTAAGTGAAGCACTGAGTTACACTGCACACATACTATTTACCACTAAGGTAGTATATGGCAACAAACTGTTACAAATGGAGGGATAGAGATCTAGACATTAGATAGAGATGTATAGAGGAGAGGCACAAACACAAATTATGAACATTTCCTTGGAGAATATCAATGGTTCATGTGGATCTGTAAAAGTACAATTTAAAGTTAATTAGAGAAAATATAAAAGAAGTAATACTTCTTCGATGTTTTTGGGGATGTAATAGGAATTTTAGAGCCAAATTAGTCAACCATCCAACCATCCGATCAAGCAACCACATCCTACATATACCACCCTGAATCCTGACCAGGTTTTGAACTTTAGTAGACTCTTCAGCTCTTCAGGGTTGCCTCAATAGAACCTTGTATATTTAAGCCTTCAATTTGAATGTCTTCTTTGTTAAGGTCTCATGTTCATCTGAAGCTTAAATGCAGTAAAATATGGATCTGACTGGAAGTTCCCAGGTGGACAGTATAATCTTTCTCCTCATGAACACCATATTGTAATCTATGAACAAAAAAAAATTTCAATGGAGTATGACAAGTTCATGACTTTTATTTACACATAAGAGTAAAGAGGAGAGTCATCAAAGTATGAGCAAGAAAATCCTTCCTATAGGATAAGATTTGAAATCTTGATTTAATGTATAAATAGGAACGTTCTTTAGCTGTGGCATAAGGACAACAAGGAAAAATTAGTATCTGAAGAAATGATACTCATTCTTCTCTCTTACATGTTGGAAAGGTCAACACGATATGACTGCTGAGGAGCTTGAGAAAATGTCATATTTCAGAGTCACAACGAACAACTGTTTTGGGTGTAGAAGTCTCAGAATTTGGAAAAAAAATGAGTAGATTCAGTCAGTGTGAGTAGATGGAAGAAGTTATATTTTTTTTTACTATTTTATATCTGCAAAGTGTTAGGAGCTGCAAGGGCTCCTTGCTGTCAGCATCCTAAAATTACTCATCATCTTTTAACTTCCAAATTAAAGGTGAAGAAACATTAGTGGACGGAGAAGGAAATGGCTTATTAAGTTCCACAAATGCACATGTATCTCATCTACAAAGTCTGAAAAAAACTCCTTTTCAGAAAAGGACATAGTTTCTTATCTAAGTGAGATTTAAAATTTTTACTTTTCCATCCAAATAATGCTAGTTATGTTTTTTAAGGTATCTCAACAACAAGACATATTTTGGCCCAGAAAGCAAGAGATAAGAGAAAAGATGCTGAGGTTCTCAGGGCCTTAGCTTGCTTGACATTTGGAGGAAAGAAGGGTATGCATGGCTCAAATACAGATAGCATATTAATTATATCTATAAGTCATAAGAGACCCAATAGACGCTCTTGTACTTGAATTATCAGATATATGGTATCTGTAGAGATGTTGGGTAGAGGGAGTTGTAAAAGTGAAGACAGGTAGGAGAAGCCAGAAATTTATGAAAGAGTTAAAAAAAAAGAAAGGAGGAGAAGGAGGAAGAGGAGAGAGATTTTCTTTTTTTAAAAAAAGATCTTGGCCAGGCGGTGGTGGCGCACGCCTTTAATCCCAGCACTCGGGAGGCAGAGCCAGGCGGATCTCTGTGAGTTCGAGGCCAGCCTGGGCTACCAAGTGAGTTCCAGGAAAAGGCGCAAAAGCTACACAGAGAAACCCTGTCTCAAAAAACCAAAAAAAAAAAAAAAAAAAAAGATCTTATTTTTTTAATAATTTATTTGTTTTTATTTTAGGTGTATTGGTATTTTGCCTGCATGCATGTCTATGTGAGGGTGTCAAATCTTGGAGTTACAGACAGTTGTAAGCTGAGAGCTGCCATGTGGGTTCTGGGGATTGAACCTGGGTCCTCTGAAAAAGCAGTCAGTGCTCTTAACCACTGAGCCATCTCTCTAGCCCCCAAGAGAGATTTTCTTACAGTCTCTCCAAGCCTTGCTATATAAGATACACACTGAATGACAAGTGGAAAGATTAATTCTGTGCTTGGCAACATGATCTGACTAAGAAACTTCTCTAACAGAGGAAATTGAAATGATGCTCTCTAAATGAAATGAGTTTACAAAGTAATGTGCTTGTTTTAAGCAACCATTATGGGTTGTCAACAGTGACTGGAATGCAATAGTTTAAATGTTTGTTAGTTAAGTCAGGGAATGAATGGTATGCTCTGCCAATTACTGGCAGTATATAAAGGTCCCAGGATAGCAGAGGCATCTACACTTGAGAAATATTCTTTTGCAACCCAAGTGAATTCTCCCCTATTGACAACATGTGTTGTAACTACTACGGCAGCTCCTGTGGCTCTGGCTCTGGCTACGGCTGTGGATATGGCTCTGGCTATGGCTGTGGATACGGCTCTGGCTATGGCTGTGGATATGGCTCTGGCTATGGCTGTGGATACGGCTCTGGCTATGGAAGTGGCTGTGGATATGGCTCTGGCTATGGAAGTGGCTGTGGATATGGCTCTGGCTATGACTGTGGATATGGCTCTGGTTATGGCTGTGGCTATGGCTCTGGCTATGGCTGTGGCTCTGGCTCTGGCTATGGCTGTGGATATGGCTCTGGCTATGGCTGTGGATATGGCTCTGGCTATGGAAGTGGCTGTGGATATGGCTCCTACTACAGGTCCGGCTGTTGTGGCTCTGGACCATCTTGCTACAGAAGATGCTATTCTTGCTGCTAGAACATCCCTAGAAGAGGACCAGTTGCTTCTGAACTGACGCTTCTGAAGATCACACTTCTTTTAAGACCCATGGCCAGAATCTCTATGTCCAAGAACCTACAAACTTGACAAAATCTTTGACCTCCAGCTGCACATATTTAGAAGACATCTTTGTGAGGGTGGGATCTGCAGTATCATCTCACTGGCTCTCAAATGTCAGTCTTTGCTCTCTTGCCCTCTGGTTCTGTTGTCTGAATGTGTTAATGGCTGTAACATCTATAGCTGGGAACATAATTTATTTTCAATAAAATGGGCATTGGATTCTAACAAATCTTTGTGTACTTGTATATTCCTGCCTTGGTTTATCTTGAAACCTGGGTTAACTCTGCATTGGCTGAAGTTTATGGAGCACTTATCTGATATGTGTGGACCTTCCTATTTTGCATCAATAATGTCTTCTCTACATGCTTTCCATGGACATCTCAGGACTTCATTCATCTAAGCACAAGCCATGGAGTATTTCTGCACTGAGTTTGGAAATGATAATATCTGAAATGGGGAAGGAGAGGATGAGAGGAGAAGGATGATACCCACATATGAGGTTATAGCTAATGTCCCAAGGGGGAACAGAGATAGCCTGAGACCTTAATGGAGGAATGAAATGGGAGGGATTGTTTTCAGAGTTATTGAAGAATTAAAGCGAGACTTGGATGTTAAGCAGGAGGATTAACACCCCAGAAAGGGATAAGCTAGAAGAAAAATATATTATACATTCTACATCAGATAGAAATGCAAATATCTTTGCTGAATTCAGCCTAGTGATTTGATTCTCTTAAACAGCAAGTGTTTTTGAATAGACCACATCCTGGATACAGTAAGAATATTACAGAGGAATTCTGTTCTCTCAGTTCATCTGCACCACAATAGAGGAGAGAGCAACAGTGATGAGACATGCTGATATATGACTCCAGTTGAGGGGCTGCAGCCCAGTGGGAAAGAGGAGGGGTGGATCAGTCACACAGTTCAGGGACGTATTTTGAAGTAGTTTTCTTTGAGTTAATACCAAAAAATCGCAGTAGCAAAGAAAGACAAGAAAATTTAACAACAAGTGCTAAGTATATAAAGAAGTTCCTTACATTTTAGGACCAGGTGAAGACACCAGAGTCAATTGTTAGACATCGCTGTTGAATATGTGAAATGTGGCAAGTATGAAATGAAGTGTGAAATACATGCTAGCTACCAAACACTTTATCAATGGTTCTCTTGGAAGGAATTAGACATGACAATGGGATCCATTCATTCATTCATTTACTTATTTTTTATTATATTTTTTCTGTTATTGAAAATAGGTTTTTTCTCTTACTTCTTTTTTTTTTTTTTTTTTGGTCTTTCGAGACAGGGTTTCTCTGTGTAGCTTTGCGCCTCTCCTGGAACTCACTTGGTAGCCCAGGCTGGCCTCGAACTCACAGAGATCCGCCTGGCTCTGCCTCCCGAGTGCTGGGATTAAAGGCGTGCGCCACCACCGCCCGGCTTTCTCTTACTTCTTGATTACAGTTTCCCCTTCCTCTACTCCTCCCGGTTCCTCCCCAGCACCTCTCCTCTCATCTGGGTCCACATCCTTCCTGTCTCTCATTAGAAAACCAATAGGCTTCTAAGGGATAATAATAAAATAAAATATAATTAGATAAAACAAAGACAAACATATTGGAATCAGAGAAAACAAACAAACAAAAACAGATGGAGAAGAGCCAAAGAAAAGCAAACATAGACACAGAAAGTCACTTTTTCACATACTTAGGATCCCATAACAATACAACACTGGAAGCCATAACATATACACAATGGACCTGTAGGATAACAAAAAAGAAGAGAGATATACAACTAAAAAAAGAGTAAAAATAAAAAAGTTAAAATTCTAAAAAAAAGAAAGAAAAAGAAAAAAGAAAAAGCGCTGCCACATTATGAGACAAGGAACCTACAGAGATGCTGCTGGGCTTGTTTTCTCTTGGCCATCGGCTGCTGGACATGGGGCCTACATTTAAAGTCTGTTTTCCCAATGAGACTCCCTGAGAGACAACTATATTTTAATTTACAAGTGCCTATAAATTGGCGGTAGTGTCTGGATTAGGGATGGGGCTTGTGCCCACTTCTCCTTTCAGCTCCAGGTTCCTATCTGGTGCAGATCTGTGTTGGCCCTGTGCATGTTGCCTCAGTCTCTGTGAGTTCTTGTGTGCAGAGGTCCTGTTGTGTTTGGAAGGCCTTGTTCCCTTGTCCTCCAGCCCTTCTGGCTCTTGCACCCTTTTTGCCTCCTCTTCTGCATGGCTCTCTGAGCCCTGGGGTTAGGGATTTGAGAGCTGAGTGTTCCAGGGTATTTAATTCTCTGCCTAGTGTCTGGCTGTGGGTCTCTGTATTTGTTCATGTCTGTTTCAGAGGAAGCTTCCTTGATGATGGAAGGGGAGAGTGGGGAGATAGATTTTGGAACTGTCAATATGCTGAAAGCTTAGCTTCCTAGTCATTGTGGAGAAAATGTAATCACTAGACAGGTCAAGGCAGAAGTTCACAGGTGTCGGTAGGGAGAATTCTAAGATGGCTTCCAATGACCTACACTCTTCTGTGACTTGTCCTTTAGGGATGGAAGAAGCTTCCTTTTAACTCTAGCACAGAGGGGAGGATATCACTTAAGTAATAATGTTTGGGGTTGGTGGACAAAGCACATGTAGGTTATTTGAATTGCAGATAACAAAAAGAAATAATTTTCTGGTGCAAGTATGTTTCATGTATGGAGCGAGTGATTCCTTACTATTCAAATTATCTGGAAAAGGAAGCTTGAACTTGTTCTGGCTAATACTTTGTGGCAGCACTATGATACTCTAGATTCCAGCTAGCTTGTATCTAGACTTCTGATTTACAAACACTGAACAAAGACCAAGATAAAGAATCCCGTGTTACATTGTTAATTTAAAAAGTTGTTACATAATAACAGAAAACAGCCTGCTGGCTTCCCCTTCTGACCTCTGAACTACCTGGTGAAGTCTTGGTCACACTGGGTGACCAGAACAATATTCACATGTTAGCAGAGATTAGGAAGATAATACCATGAGAGTGTTTTAAAAATAGACCATTATGGAATGAAGCTGAGAGTGAAAAGATCCATTCTCCATACTTGACTGAGGAGGCATGGGAATAAGACGCTAAAATAATTTGTCTATATGCTATGGGAATGATTATACACTAGTTACATACTACTATATACCAGTGTGTTTGTGTGTGTGTGTGTGTGTGTGTGTGTGTGTGTGTGTGTGTGTGTGTGTGTGTGTGCGCGCGCGCATATGTTTTACAGAAAAATAATTACAGAGTGAGATGGGTCACTATAAGATGTAATAAAGTCCCTGCCACAGTTAATGCTCAATATTTTGGTAGTAAGAAATGAGGATTTTAGGTAGCTTAAGGACGAAAAATACATACCTATGTTTGGTAATATATTAGTGATGCAAGTTTCTCAACAGTTTTTTTTCATTGACCTCTACATATTTGGTACCTACATATCTCACATTTCCAACTGAGATTATATGAATGAAATAATTGAAGAAATTTATGATTTACAAAACATTTATCTTCTCTTTGTAGAGGATATTAATCTTCTATCTTAGTTTGAGCTAAATCTGTACACAGAGATGATGAGAAATTTATTGAGCCCTAGGAATGAAAAACATCTTATTAAAATGTTGTTTTGATGGTTATGTGGATCCTTAGGAAGATGAAGCACTGAGTTTTTTGTGTGAGAGGCCTCAGGTTCTCTTGCAGTTGCCTATGGAGCAATTGGAAACGAGGAAACCAATGAATGTAATCAGTCAAGTTCATTTCACAGTTGCGTTCTCAACACATTGCCTAATCTCCTGCAGAGCCTTGCTATATAGAATATACCTTTGGAGTCATGGGTTAAGATGGCTAGCTGACTGTAGACCTTCCGCATAGACTGGAAAGCTGGCATAGGATGATGACTAGTACTGACAACCACACAGTTCTCCAGTAAACTGAAGAACTTAGAACAAGGTGTTTTCCTAAGGTAGATGCTATAGCTATAAAGAGACTAGCTTCTCTCATTAGCAGCTGAGTGAGGTGACTCATACATACTAGGCATTAGATGAATATATATATATATATATATATATATATATATATATATATATATATATATACCAGAATCATTATGGATCTTCCTGTGAATTACAGTGTTTCTAAGATTAATGCAAAGGTGGGAAAAATTCAGCCCCTTCACTGGAACCTGGCTTTTTGGCACTTTGTATTGAAACCACTCTGGACATCACTGTGGGGGCTGTGGATATGACTGTTACGCTGGCTCCAGAAATACTATGGGCACAAGTCTGGCTATGGATATAGCTGTTATAAAATATGTTATGCATCATGCTGATGGAACATCATTGTACAACATTTCTGTAAAGTGTTACAAGAGGCTGGATAGATCACTGAGCACTTGGTGCTCTTATAGAGGAACCAAGTTAAGTTCCCCAGCATCCATATCAGGTGGCTTACAACATCCTGTAACTCCTGTTCTGGGGGGTCTGATACCCTGTTCTGGCCTCTGAGGCCATCTGTACTCATGTGCACACACCCATGTAGAGACACACATACAATACACATAATTAGAAATAAGATAAATCTTTTAAGAAGTGAAGTATTTCAAGATTAACATTTCTCCACGAAAAGTGCCCCATTCTACCATTTCTGCATTCACACACAGGTTAGACAGCTAATTAATTTCAGAGAAGTTGTTGTTGAGAGAATATACATGCTTCCATTATGGGCATCAAAGACTGAAGATTGTTGATTATGTGCAAAATGTAAATTAATGTTTCTTGCTTATCTTATTATGCTTTTTGTGTTGTAAATAAATGCTTCATAGTTGGAAAAATAATGCTTTTTCAGTCAGTGCATTTCATTTGTTTTGGCAAGAATTTGTGTCCTTTTTGTCAGTCATGACTGACTGGAGCATCAGTGGG